CGAAACAGTCATTCGTGTGGGTGTAAACGTCCATTAAATGAAATGATGAATTTTTGAAGAATTTTGAAAACTGAGCATCTTGAAAATCGTCAGTATGTGTGTACTGGATTTTTAAAAGCACCCAGCAGCATGTGGTTAAGGATGCATGGCAACCAAAGAAATTTCAGAACCTGACTAATTTTGGGGCTGTCCTCAAAACCTACTATTTACATGTAGAAAAAAATATATTAGGTTTGCAGTCTTTTGCATTGAAAGATGCACTTAATAATATCTGTGATTCCTGGATGACTGAGGGCGCTGTTGATGTGATGTCATCCAGGAAAGACATGGTTACATGCGTATGTCTTTGTGTTCAGATTGTGATCACAGAATTGTGAAATTGTGAACACAGAATTTACTTTAGAAAATGAAGGGGTACATAGATGTAAACCAATTCAGCACTGGGGTTTTATTCCTGGGATGACATCAAAGTTTTGCTTATGAATATATGGCAAAACTCATTAGTATTAAAAGCCAAAAGGGCAGTAAAATACCCTTTAAAGTAGTGAAAAAAACAATGAAAATGAGGTTACCTGAGACACAAAGGTGCATGTTGGAGGTATGTACTAGACAGTTCCATTGTTGGAACCCTTTAATCTTTGTTCATTTGGATTGCATTTTTGTCCACATCTAGGCTTTGTCTCTATCTCTGCTTTAATCTGATTTTACCTCCTGGCTCTGGATGTGAGCTCAACGAAATGCCATGCTTTAACTGCATGCAACTGACCCGAAGATATAATTACTCTCATTCAGATGGAACATTTGAGGCCTAGCTATGAGTGGTTCTTATGTCAGTGAAAAAAGTTGACAATGCCTTAAACAGAGACGAAGCCGAGATTTGAAAACTCCACATTGAGTGAATGTGCTGGGACTATACACGGAGGCCCATAACTGACCTGTCAACAATGGAAGCCACCTTCTTATCCTGATTTGTCCACCACTGTCGCACCATGGCTGGTAGGTCCTCCAGGATACTGTAATACAGGGTGCAAGCCTGATGCTGAATCTCTTCCTGGCTTGGGGAGATACCTGTAAAAGTAAATGTGTGACATTTTATTAAAAAGCATTAACCTGGGAGGACACTCAATCCGTTATCATAGCTTTGCTTACCGTGAGCAAAGAGTACCAGCTTACTGTCGGAGCAACTCGTGCTCCAGTGGTTATCCGCTTTCACAAGTAAGCAGTAATTTCAGCTTATGCATGTGCACACATGTACCACTAATACATGAGGATTCCGTGCTTACATGATTCGAATGGAATTTCTGTCCTATCACAGTAAACAGAAAAAGAGACTGTAAGCAGAGAATTCAAAGGTTACTCAGTGCCAAGAGAGTGGCTCAGATGTATGGCAAGATGGTTAAAACTGGCCC